ACTCACGCAGCTGGGCGGATCCCGTCATCTACGTCGGGATCCGCTCCAGGTGCGGCGTCTCAGTATACCGCGAGCTGTAGCTCGCGGTATACTGAGCTTAGGGTAACGGGAGGGCGCTAGTTTGTGTCCTCCCGTTACCCTAAGGAGAACTATGGGGAAAAACACTGACCCCATAGTTCTCCTTTAAAAGGAGAACTATGAGGTGAGTGCTTTTCACTCACCTCATAGTTCTAGCCGACCTGTGACAATGAGACTGTCACAGGTCGGCTCAGTAGATCGGGAGGTGAGCGAACACATACCGGGTTCGCTCGCCTCTCGATCCTGTCACAGTTCTCTGCCGTGACAGGGGAGGGGCTGGATTCCCCCCTCCCCGCTCTGATCCACCAGCGCTGACTGGCGGAACTGACGGGGGAGGGGGCGGGTACAGCTGGCTCTGCCTTTAGATAGGCAGAGCCAGCTGTCACTCACGCAGCTGGGCGGATCCCGGCACAATTGTCGGGATCCGCTTCAGCTGCGGCGTCTCAGTATACCGCAAGCTACAGCTCGCGTTATACTGAGCCTAGGGTGACGGGAGGACGCTAGTTTGTGTCCTCCCGTTACCCTAAGCAGAACTATGGGGAAAAGCCTTAACCCCATAGTTCTCCTTTTTAAAACAATTGCGTTTGGAATCCATCAGTAGCTCAGTGATTGGTTGTTGTCTGAATTTATGTAAAGAAACACACACAGGAGATTAATCAAATGTTTTCTCTTTGGCAGGGTGCCCTTTTCCACGTGCGAGTGGTACATCGTGCACGAGATCTACAATGGTGAAAATGCACAAGACCAGTTTGAGTATGAACTGGAGCAAGCACTTGAAGCTCAATACAAATATATAGTCATTGAACCAACCCGTATTGGAGATGAAACTGCACGCTGGATTACCGTGGGAAACTGCCTGCACAAGTCAGCAGTACTTTCTGGTACAGTGTGCCTTCTCACTCCACTCATTTTGCCTTCTGAGTATATACCATATATGTCTCTGCCAGCTGGTATTCTCAGCTTGGCCTGCTCTACTCTTTATGGAATCTCCTGGCAGTTTGATCCTTGCTGCAAATATCAGGTGGAGTATGATGCCTATAAACTATCAAGACTTCCACTACACACTCTTACCTCCTCTACACCAGTCGTGCTTGTAAGGAAGGATGACGTCCATAGGAAAAGACTACACAACACAATAGCACTTGCTGCACTGGCATACTGTGTAAAGAAGCTGTATGAACTTTATCTTGTATGATTTCCATGGATGCTGAGCATGCAACAATAACACTTTTTTGTGAAATTTAATTGAGATTGAAGAATTTCTCCAGAAAAAAAAATGTGGTGCTACTGCACTGATTTCTTTTCAGCGCTTTATAGTAGGATGGTGAGGAACCTGCTTTGAAGTCAGTATACCCTAGCTGCAAGTCATACACATAACAGGGAATACATGGATTATACCAGTGGGTTATGAGGGAGGTGTTTTTATGTTGAACATAGATTTATGTATTTGTTGTACTACACTTAACCAGCCAGAAGCCCATGTGACTATTAAAATCTAAACTAAATAAATGGCTACTTGCTTTTCATGTGGTGGACTGAAAAAGTAGAAGAAAAAAAACAAAGTCTGCTTTAAGCTAATTAAGGTACATTTCTGGATTCTGGAACCAGTTTGTACAAGGGTACAGGTTATCTGATCACATCTGGTTGGGTGAAAGTACCAAAAGGTATTTCATCAGCTTCTGAAATTCTTTGCATGGTGTGTTATATATATATATATATATTAAAAAAAAAAAATATATATATATTAGACATACATGCAACAGTATCAATGTTCTTTATAATGAGCATTTAGGTCAGAGAATTTCACTTTCGAGAAACCGGAATGATTTTAATTTTAAAGGATCAATGGAAAGAGCTCGGTCTATTGGCCAGCTTAAATATTTAAAGCTAAACTAATATAGACAAATACCATTTTTTCAGGTATGCAAAAATTAAATTTATTTTTAAATGCAAGTAGTGTAGTACTTACATTTTTCATACTAACAGCCTCTTGTAACCCTCCCTGCCCCTACAGCAGCACTTAGACTGTGAGAGGGAGGGTGTACACTAGGAGCTATTTAGACTGCTGCTTGCACATATGCTTAATAGAGGAGAGAGCAGAGGCATGACCTCACTAGTGTGCTGCTGCTTCTTCATTGTCCAATCAGAAAATGGGAGATGTGTTTTGTACCGTGTTCATGACCACGCTCTGCTGCTGCGGTGGTTAAAGATCTGGCTGTGTCATCTGACAGCTTTACAATTCTTTTGGAAATTATTATGTTATAATGTACAGGACTACAAAATACATTTTGTAAATAAGTATTGCAAATTATATATTTACATTTCCAGCCAGCAGGTGGAATTCAAGGCTCCATTTCCCATCTTGATAATGATGGCCTTAGCTCCTTTGGTAAAAAAAAAGTCTATTGGTTGCAGAGTTTCATGGCTCTAGCACAGCGCTTCTCAGCCCTGTGGGTCGCGACCCCGTCGGTGTCGAATGTCGATTTGCCAGGGGTTGCCCGGGAGTCTCCCACTATTAGCGGCTCCCAACCGCCCGGGAGAGAAACACTTTTTCCCGGAAAGGTTTACTCTGCTCGATCAAGCAGAGTAAACCTTTCCCTGCAATAGTTTTTTGGTTTTTTTCCTGACATCGGCCGCCATAGTCAGAAAAAAAAAAAACCACCATAGGAATGCATAGCTAGATTCCTATTGGCTATTTCACTTTGCAATAGCAAACTAGCATTGTACCCGCCCTCTGCTGCCAATCAGCAGAGGGGGACCTGAAGTTCTCAATCAGGTCCTCTTCTAGTGATTGACAACACCAGAGGGCGGGTGCAATCGCTAGTTTGCTATTGCAAAGTGAAATAGCCAATAGGAATCTAGCTATGCATTCCTATGTTTTGTTTTTTCTATTCTGACGGCGTACACCAGCGGTCCTCAACCTGTGGGTCGCTGTGTGATTTCTGCTGTGCTAGGTGAGAGTCCTCCTCAGCCCTCTCCTAGCGCAGCAGTGTCAGTTCTCCCGCCACGCCGCCAGATGTCGCTGCAGCAGCCGCGTCATCCCTACATTTTACCGTTGGGGGTCATCACAACTTGTCAAATGTTACCAAGGGGTCCCGGCCCTAGAAGGGTTGAGAACCATTGCTCTAGCACAATTGTACATACATAACTGAATGAGTCTGAGAAGCAACCCATCCCCCCATGCTATTTATAGCTTTGTACAGACATTCGATTAGAGAGAGGCAGCCTGAATACAAGCAGCATCTGCTGTTTTCTTGCTTTTACAAAACCATAGTAATGTAGTTTGTCGCACTTCAATCAAAGGGAATTTGAGGTTGACTAGATCGGCAATTGATTTACGCAGGACTAGCCAACAGCCCAGAAAGGCAAATAATTTTTCCATTCCTGTGTGTACGTGACTAATGAAGATGTTCCTGTCTCTGCTTGCACAACCAGCAGATCGGGACACTATCATATACTAGAGAAAGGAAGTTATTACCTTTCTGGCTATGCAGAGTGGCAGGGGTGTATGAATCACAATAGTAGCTGCATGTTCTCACGTTTTGGCAAGAAAGCAGTTTGCATAAAGATGTGGACACATTTGTTGATCTTTTTTCAGGGGTACCAACAAATCTGCTTAAACCATTTTAGAATATCTTTGTAGAAGCAATAATTTCCCTTCTCACCCTTTCTCTGCTATACCAAGGCCTGCATGTATATATGAGACCATTGCTTTTCATTTATTCACTTCTCAGGAGCAATGCAGTGTTGTTTCAATGAACTGTAAGGGTACCAACAAATGTGTCCATGTTTGTTTTTGTATTAGCGGCAAGGTTTTTTTCAGCTTTAAAATCTATTGTACATCAGTATAAATAACAGAATAAAAGAATAGTAAGACTTAACCATTTATTTTGTAATCTCTATAGATACAGAGACAGTGGTGAATTACAAAGTCTCTATCAGTGGAAGCACAAGCAATACGCTCCAGTTAGGGATGTCCCGATACCGATGCTAGCATCGGAATCAGGCCCGATACAGGGCATTTTGACAAGTACTTGTACTTGTCAAAATGCCCCGAAGCCTAGCGCCGAAGCTTGCGCTATAACACACCTCCACTACACTCCAGCAATAGAGTTACAATTCTCCCCTGCTAACATGAATAGGTTAAACCATGATCCATAGTATATAACATGTAGTTGTACTATGGATCATTTAAAGTCACCTGTCCCTTTAAGAAAAAGTATCGGTAATTGGTATCGGCAAGTACATGAGGGGAAGTACTTGTACTTGGGCCTGAAAAAGTGGCATCGGGACATCCCTAGCTCCAGTCTTTGCTGCGCCTACCATGACACTGATAGTCTTGTGCTAGTGACAGCTGCTACGATTGTCTGTTTGCTTCATGTGCATCATGGCTTTTTTTTTCTTTGTAAAATGTTTCCATGGAAACAAGTCAGTCATGTATGATGTCATTGCTACTACTGTAATATGTCCAGTATATGATTGCTGAAAAATCCAGACTATGTGTGCATTCATAACAGAATATGATCATTTCATCAGCACAGGGGTACAGTTTCACCGTCATCTTCCAGGGGAGCACATTGGAGAGGGCCAGAAGCTGAATCAATCATTAAAGAGACCCTTTTGTCTTACTATGTCTCAAGAATCTTCCCATAAGATTATATGTGCATTACATGTAGTTTATGCATGTCATTTACCTGTAAAGGTCTCCCCTGTGTAGACATCCAAAGCTGTGAGACTTTCCCCTTTGGTCCTCCCCTGGCGGCTGCATAGTTATGTAGAGAGGGGCGCGGGGTGGTTGGCCAGCACAGAGAGTAACTAGACACTCTTAGAAGAGGAGAGGGCAATAACGTGAGTAGAGGCTAAGGAATTGACTCTGGCAGAAGTAGTCACATTTTCTAATATGTTCAAAGGTAATATGTAAGTGACCAAAAAATAATTTATGAAAAGGAAAACATTGCAAGTAAACATTTAACATACATTTTGTACATTTGTGACAGGGTCTCTTCATGGGCACTTGATAGCAAGGAAGTGCACTGCAATGCTGTGTGTTCTGTTTAAGGGGGGAGTGCCATGATATCATCTTTGATGTCACTGGTACTTGGACCTGTGAGAGACATTTCCATTTTTAAATAGATCATTATTTATAAGTGACATGTTACTGCAGAGATGCATGAGGAAGCTGAATCCGATCTCTCATTATATGATCCAGACACTGAATGGGGCAAAAGTGAAGAATTTTAAAATTATGAAAGATAACAAAAAAATAAGATTTTTGTCTTGTCTGTAAAAACTGTTTCTGGGGTGTACATCACAGGACACAGGGAGCTATTTCTCAAACCAATGGGTTATGCAGCTACCTTCAGGGGATTGGGCACTGGCCAATCAAAGTGGAGACAACTAACCTGTACAACCCTCCCAGCCTGCCTCAGTTTTGTAGCAGTCAGTACAAGAGTGGATTACAGAAAAACCAAGGGGGGTTGGTGGTGATCTCCATGAAACGTATTTTACAGGTAAGACAAAAATCTTGTTTTCACATCTCAGGACACGGACTTAATTATGGATCCAATGGGACATCCAAAAGCAGCACAACAGAGGGGCGGACTACACAGGTAACAGGCCCAAGAAACACACAAACAAAACCGCAACCAGGAACTAAAACAGAAGTGGCTCACATCTAGAAGGGCCACCTGAAGAACTGTGGGGCCTGAGCTAGCAGCTGCAGTGGCCTAAATTCAACCTGGTAAAACTTGGCTATAGTGTGAACAGAGGAGCAGGTGGCAGCGTAGCAGATTGAGAAGCTGAATCGTGATTAGTGCTCAAGAAGCATTAATGCTGCTAGCAGAGTGAGTGAACAGGTTGGAGTAGAACCCCCGACATTTTTCTGCCTCAGAAACAGGGACATTGACCCTCTAAGAAAGGAGATGACCTAGGGCGGCAAAATGATCCATCTGTCTATGAGGAGCTTGTGGTAAGTATTATTATTATACAGCATTTATATAGCACCAACAGTTTGTGCAGCGCTTTACAATATAAGGAAGACATTACAATCACAATTCAAGACCAGATGGTAAGGAGAGCCCTGCCCCTGAGGGCTTACAATCGTAAAGGTAGGGACAAGTAATACACGAGGTGGTAGCTGTGTGGGGATACATTGTTTGAGAATGTTATGGTTCAGTGGCTAGTTTGAGGTGGGATAGGCTTCCCTGAAGAGATGAGTCTTTAGGGATCGCCTCAAAGCAGTCAGAGTAGGGGATAGACGGACAGGTTGGGGTAAAGAGTTCCAGAGGGTGGGAGAGTCTCTAGAGAAGTCCTGGAGGCGAAAATGGGAGGAATTGACGAGGGGCTGGAAAGCAGGATGTCTTTGGAAGAGCGGAGGGGACAGTTAGGGTAATACTTTGATACAAGGTTTGAGATCTAGCCAGGGACAGAGTTGTGGATGGCTTTGTAAGTGGTTGTTAATAGTTAGAATTTTATCCTTTGGGGCGATTAGAAGCCA